AGAGATCCGACGACTTGTTTGGCCAATGTATCCTCTCATATTATTTTCTACGCATGAATACTTTGTTCGAGATGACCACAGTAATCCCCCCCTTTTGGCGAACTTCTTAACTGACTCTAGGCCTTTGTCAAGGGGTGGCGAAGGGGGAAGGCTATTCTTGTATGAAACCAATACTATATCTCAGTCAAAGTCAAAGCACCTGGACAAGCGTCAATTAGTGCCGGCGCCTTTGTGCCAAAACATCCATTATCAGCAAACTTCTGGGCAATGGAGTGAACGGACCGTTGCGCCGACTACATCCGCGCGCTTTATTTCCTTCAAAAGCAAGAAATGGAGTGGCGGTCTCAGCTGCAGCACTCCCACCAAGACCTTTTCACCTCTATTCGATTCGATCCACGTGTGGGCCATGGTCCCGTAGGTGGTTGGCTCACTGGTGCACAGCAGTTCAGGCCAGAATACCTGCGCGCTTCTAGCCATCTCGGCCATCCGACCCCGCTGCCCCCCATCCTGCTTATGCTTTTGCTTCCTTTCGGTCTAGTCTCTTACGTGGACACGTCGTGTTACCGGCTCCCCGGCGCTCTAAACGAGCCCCCTGGCGAAAATTGGAAGATACCTAGGTACAGAATCAGCTCGTCTTGCACTACCAATGACGTGGTGTGACACGACCTCTTCCATTCAGACAGCAAAGCGAAATTACTGTTTACAAGTTCGTGACCTGGAACACATGGTAGCGAATTGGGGCCAGTGTCAAGTGTAGAACGAGGCCATCTTCCATTACTCCTACGTCCACTCGTTCCCGAAAAATCCTGCGCCCCTGTCAACCGTTACAACACATCAAAGCTTAACTGTTTCTCCCTTGGGGTGCTGATCTGGCGATCCCAAACATCAATCGCTGGTGCGATCTGGAGTTGATTGATTCTTTGCAACGTCCAGATTTAACTAGAGACGGTCGACTACCCATGGAAAATCGCCAACCTCCACAAGTCGAAACGACCCAGGCAATAAAAAGGAAAGGGTGGGTATTTCCCAGGTGGCTTTGCGAATTGCTTCAAATTGAGACATGGGGCTTGATCCGATCACCTACCAAAACGTCCTGACCACTCATCGGTGTTGACCTCGCAATCTCTTGGCCATCGCGGGCGGACATGGCATTGATGGAAGAGTTCTTGTTTAATTCCGGTTGCTTACACCACCGAGCCACACAGCTGCTGGGACACGTCACGCAATAATAAATTGTGATTAAAGCTCCATCTCATGTCCGACAGTAGCTCTCCACGGCGATATGGGACAACGAGCCGGGGACTCTTATTGTCCTGCTCTGGCCCGTCGGAAATTTACATGAACCCCATTTTCACAACGGCTCTTTGTCCTTGATCTTCTCCACCGTGTATTCCGTAGTAGTTTAAAATCGCGTTGTCCCTAGAGCGCAACATTAATCTCCCTATGCTAACTAACACTCATGATCCGCAACATAGTGGCCAACCTACGATAGATTAGCGGGCCGTCTATCTTTTTCGACTTCTGCTGTTGGTTCCCGTGTAAGCACGGTACGGATGCACCCGCATTGCCGGCACTTAGGAGCAGCGGAGTTTCGTCGAATCTTTGAAATTCTTGGCTGCTTGATGTTGTGAGTCAAAACAACTCAATCCTAACCGGACAATAGGTAGGTAGTTTAAGTGGCATCTTCTTCATCGACTACAAACATTATAGTCGTATGTTGCCACTTAATTTTCCCAAGCACACGGCAATGCATAGTGTATCATCAATCCAACATCAGACAGCATACGACTTACACTTGTAGCAGTAATACAATACAAAGCGCCGTCAAGTTTTCCAGCAACTTATTGTGTTGCCCGTACCAGTGTCTGCAGTGTAGTCTTAGATTACTGCTTGATGTTTCCTCACATGTCTACCTAGGTACCAGGTAGGTAGGTAGTTGGGACGCCGGCATCTAGCAAACCCGCTTGTAACTTTTCAGCTGGAAACCTCTTTGCTCATATAAATTACAGCCGATAAATGGCCCGACTACTTTATCCATTCTCGGTGTCTCTTCCCGGGCTCTGCACTCTCCCGTTCCCCTTGCATCCCTCTGCACCGTTCGTCCAATCGGCCCCACAAAACCTTCAAGGAGTCCCTTACCGTTTAAATCCAGGGGCATCATCCTCAGCCGCACCTGTAGATGCAACATGGGAACCCTCAGTCACTCGCGAATCCATTGTTCCCCCTTTGTGACCACGCCTCCTTGATTTCGCTTGCTGCAAGATCTGGCCCGGTGCTCTCCTGAATGAGATCGACTTGCAGCTGATCAGGGACGGTATTTCCAATTATGTAGTCGGTATATCTCGGCAGCCACCTGATGGCCTTCGCATCCAATGCGTGATGCGCCTCGGTGCGTTTAAATATCTAGCAATGGATAACCAAGTTGCCACCCGTTGCCACTCTACGTCTTCTACGCCGACTTGACGGCTCACAGCCCCCAAGGTTATTCGTTTCTACCACATGAAAGAGGACATCAAAATCAGATATATGATGCAGAATCGGGTTCTCGGGGTTGATTTCCGTGAGAGACGCTCAACACTGGATGGCAAGCAGAACGCGGACTCGCGCGGGAACTCGCCCAGGTTTACCGCGACTTGTTACCAATCTATAGTGACACACCCGGCGCCTTGGTGCTGCCTCGGGACCACACGGCAAAGCTCGAGCTACTTCCGTGGCGTTGCCCGGCTGTTGCGTGTGCTAGAGAGTACAACGGCTCGCCCGTACCTTATGATATCTATCCGCTCTTGGTTGACATTTCCATAGCCCGCGAGAACAGCGATCTAAGGAATTGGCCTCCTCAAGCAACTAGCCCACGCCTCATGGATGACTTCTGCGACATGGCCTCCCAACTCTCAGAAAGGGGGTGGTTCACAGACTGTCACTATTACTAGCTCCTCTGGATATAATACCAGGCAGCATCATTGTCGACCCGAAGCCCGACACAGATAAAGTCATTTCCGCCGTTATCGACTGGGACCACGCTGTCTTCGCTCCCCAATTCGTGTCCTGTACTCCGCCGGAGGGACTAGAGCTGGATCAGATCTTCGAGGAGGCTGCCAGTCCGGAATACCTTCGACTCGCTTATACGCCGGCAAACCAGTTTGCGAGGCAGCTTGTCCGCTTTGCAATTGAGCCCCTGAGCAAATCAGAGGATATCGACAATTTTCTTGGATTTGAGAATTCTGCGAGGCAGACGCTAACGAAAATGGCAGCCACCCGCGACGATGAGCGAAGTTGGAGACGCTAGAAAAGGTGAGAGTGGTGTATCCATGTAAGATGAGTGATATTATCTAGAAAAAATAGAGTATTCAGCACGGGTTTGGCAAATCCAGCCGCTCTCTACTGGTTCTGCACATGCTATTTCGTTCGCGTTTGCCATTGGTGATGACAAAGGTATCTTAGATATCTTAGAATCTGTCAGACGGTTAATTGTGCCAAGAGATCGACGATGACTTTAAAAGCCATCTAAGGACAAGTACATGCGGTTGCTTACAGATCGGAGGAGCTAGAGATCAAGTCGCGATGTTATTAGAAAGCTATAAGAGGTTGGCTGGCGATTAAGGCGTCCTGCAAGGCAGCCATTAGGCGCCACCAACGTTTAGCTGTCAGATCGTTGGCTAGATAGGACGATTAGGACGGGCAGAGCTCGAACATAAACAAGTTGCTCTTACTACCTTCGAACGAGAAAAGGGGGATCAAGAACCTTATGTCACGTGCACGTGAAACCCCACACTACATAATGGGATTCTGGAGAATCCCACTTAGCTTAGCTTCTACATCCATTAATTGATGATGCCTCATTCGTTTCTTTTCGTTTCTTTTGTTCTTGTTTCTAGTGTCTTTCCTTGTGTGTTCGTGTGTCCGTGGGACGCCACACCTTAAGACCCTAGAAAATTATCATTGAATTGACTTGTTCCACGCCCTCAGGGGTAAACCAGCCCTTGTCACATAATCGAGGACGATATCACAATTTCCGTTTAGTTAAAGTGACATTCATAGAGCTATTTAGAATTAAGATCGTAACAATGGTTTTAGTATGATTGTATTTTTAAATTACAAGCTCATTTCTCTTTGCCCTTTTGCTTTCAATTACTAGGAATAATCAAGGAATAAATATAAAGATTAATGTCATTATAATTATATTTTGATGCTATTTTATATATAATATGTTATAAATGAATTAAATGTATAATTGAGGTAGTCAGGGGAAATGTTATTAGATATTAAGCTCAAGGCTAATTAGTAAATAACCTTGGAAGACTTTTGTTTGGGAGCTGGGAGGGAGGAACAGATAAGAAGTCGGTACATGTTAATTGGTTGACATATATCACTTTGCTTGATGAGCTTTCACATATCCTCGATGTGTGACATCCTGGTGATCCTTTGAGTCTTGCCGAACCCCACGCCGCATGTCAAGACCTTTGAGTTTTAATCCACGAACTGGTTACTAGGTTTGACGGGGGCCCAGGGTTTCCATTCAACCTGCCAACCCACCCCTCACAATCATTGAATGCATACTCTGGCATTTGTCCACTTCCTGAACTCTCGGATACTCAGAGTTAAAATCTACGTCATGGTTCATCGACGCAAATTCCGTGCAAGTCGGCGCCATTGTCATGGGGGGCCGAATTCGGCTACAGGTACCAAGTATGATTCCATCTAAGACTTTCCATGAAACTTAACATCTTGTATGTGTATGAAAGTTTATCTACAGGCACAACCAGTAATGTACCCACAATTTCTTTTTGTGGTCTACATTATGTACTTAATTTCAATGATAGCCCCTTTTACACAGATCCTTAGGTATAAATACTTGAACACTGAGGGCTGAAATACCTTTGATCGAGGACGCGAATATTGCCGCTGAATTTGATATAGGGGTAGGACGTATTTTATCCGAGGATCAGCCTTATTGGACGGGATATATACTAGTGGAAGAACTATTGGTCACAACAAGCAAAGGCAAGATGGCCGAGCGGTCTAAGGCGCTAGACTCAAGAGGTTTCCTATCTCTTAACTCCTCCCAAGGAGTGCATTCTAGTCTCGAAAGAGGCGGGGGTTCGAATCCCCCTCTTGTCATTACATTTATGAATATTTTCATAATCTTTCTCTTTTCTTTTCGACCTACATAAATGAAATAATATTTTGATTACGCAAGGGTTTGCCCTATTCAATTTTCCCCTTGCGTAGCATTTATGCGACACAGGAAGAACCCCAAACTGCGCCGCTCCCTAATCACGATGCTAAGAGCAATCGTCAACTCTTACAAGTAAAGTATTTATTTTCGTTTTATTATGTGAATCATTTGATCTCTAAGGTTAGTATTTGCTGCAGGTCCAATTCTCATGTCCGGTCAAGTTGTATCATGGAGAAATATGAACGTCGAGATTGCCTAAGGTTATAGAAATGTGCCGAACAGTACCACAATACTCTAAGAGATACTCTTGAGAGATGGGCGTTCCCAGTATACACAAGAACATATCTGACTTGTAAGGTCGTCTTCTCGCATATCAGGGGATTGCGAATATCATCTAGTGGTCGGGAAGACGCCAGTCGAGAAGTCGGTAAATTGCACTAGAGATAATAATTGGCCAGAGATATGGAAATATGCGTGCAACAGACGAAATATACGAGAGAGGCCGGTCTTAGCTTCTAAGGGCTGTAATGCTTATAGATTTGTCCACCATGCCATTGCTACTAATAGTCAGTATTGTCGTCAATACATATGGGAAGATGGATATTGGGCAGACGATTATAGTCATCGGTATTTGTGAATTATTTATTATGGAGAATCTGGCACTGTCTACTGCAATAAGGTATCATTGCTAACGTGAGCTGAAAGAACCTAAGGTACACCGTCTTCTTTTACATTTACCTAACTACCTAGGTACTTAGCAGCAGATAAGCCATACTTCAAGTATAATTATGTCAGGAAGAGGTTTCACTGGAACTGAATTCGCACATAAGCTTGAGATACCTGAAAATTGGTAGTATGAAGAAGTTGGTTAATTAAGTAATTTTGAATAGTGTTTTCACTTGCGCGGAGCTGAAGCCAGGCGTATGGTCATGACGGCTCGATCGAGACTATTTACCTGTGAGACACATCAGGCTTTTCTATATCGACTCAGACCATACAAGGCATTTCATTTCTGTTGCCGAGAGTAATCTAATCTGTTGGATCTGAGTTGGCGAGCCGGAAGTGGATGTTCATTGCTTATTGTATTAAAGTCAACCTTAGAAGTCAACCTTGGAAGTCAACCTTCTCTTGTAGATTATTTCGATCTGCCCAGAAGACAAATTTGAGGCCATAATATCAACCACACGAGAAAGCTATAGGGGGAGGTTGTTGTCTAATTACCACCATCGGTCAAATCTCATCATATAATTGACTTGAACGATATGCTCATTGTGTGTAATACCCATTGGAGTTAGTAATATCTAGGAGATCTTATTATAGTAGCAGGCTTTTCAGAGCGGTGTGAGTATGGAGCTGCACATGTCAAGAAATGAAGTAGTTAGAAAAAGAAAAAAAGAAGTCGTCTCAGCTATGCATATAGCTCACATAGTATCACGCTATCATGGAAATATTGTTGTGGAATTATACAACATAAACTTGAATATAATTATGAAGATAGTAAGAGCAAGCCAATCACATATCGCTATCCGGATCCTGAGTTGACTCGTCACCGACATTCGCTTCGCCACGATCTAGCCTCACCATGATTGGACAGGCTCACGAACCGCTGAGCTGAGGCCGGTTTCCCCCCTGTCGCAGATCAATTACTTAAAGCTGTACCAGGATTTCAGCTTCATGGGGAAAACAATGGCGTGCCAGAGATATCCTCGTTTTGCTCGTGATTTCTCAGTTCTACGTTCTATGGATACTTCTTCAACAAATTTTATGACCCAGATGTTTAATGCGCGTACAAGGATATGGATTCCTCAGACGCGACTCATCGTACTATCCTCCCGAGGATGAGTTTGGATAGCGGGGACGATTTTGATTTTTCAGCTTCGCTCCAAGTTGACGATTTTGGCAACTACGTAGCTAATGATGGTGCTTCTGGAGCCGACTCCGCCCCGGTTGTGAACAATGAGCTGGCAATATACAATATCTCGCAGTCAGAGGCCACTACTAGCAGAAATGCGGCTCAGAGACAAAGACAAGAACGGCGAGGTCATACCAAAAGCCGAAGAGGATGTTATAACTGCAAGAGACGTCGCATTAAGGTTCCTGCCTCCTGGCCGCTGATCGAGTCTCCGTTACTAATGTTGAGATACTTAGTGCCAAGAAACTCGGCCTGCTTGTGGTCACTGCGTGAAGACGGGATTGCGATGTGAATATCCAGCTGCTCCTCAAGTCGTCTATCAAGTAGGAGTCCGTGTCGTTGTTAATGAAGTGCCGCTGACGAACGAGATCAGCCACGACATCAAGTACCTCTCTTCAGCCTCCAGGACATGCGCTTCTTCCAGCATTTTCTCTTGACTTGCTTCCCGCATCATCCGCTAGGAAACGAGACAATTTGGACTCATGAAGTTCCCTGTCTATCCCAAACTGTATGCATCGCTAAGAACGGTTGGTAGTGGTCTTGGGGCCCTAGTGATACTGATGATCCTACTGATAGTACGAATATCTTATGCACGCAGTGCTTGGACTCGCTGCTTCCGATCTCATGACGCAGGATCCCAGCTTAGTTACATTCGCGATGATGCATCGAGTGAAGGCGATCAATGCTATCAAGAGGAGCCTGAGCGACGCCCCGAGGATGGATACCTTTGAAGAAGGGAACGCACTCAGTACGTTCTCTCCTCTGATTGTACCTTTAAGAATCACTTGGGCATCTCAACTCAGCCAATAATGCTACTTCTGACTAATGAATTACGCCTTACTAACCAGTGGCCGCTTGCTTCGCACTCATGTTTCAGTCCATCGCCCTAGATGACGGCATGGCCGAGTATATGACTTTCATCCGTGGGATCGTGTTAGTCTCGGCGCAGATGCACTGCAAGGGCGTCAAATTCATCTTTAGCAACTTGAGCCATCTAGACACCTCGGCGATCCTGAAACCGCATATGGATGCGCTTCCTCTAGTGCGGCGCGATTGGGTGGACATGGCCGTTGCTAGTATCCATGGCCTCGAGCCTTTGTGTAGGCATCAGGTTGAGATGGAATACCACCGCTTGATCCTCGAGATGGCCGAGGCTCTCTATACCGACTCGTTTTTAGGTAACTTGCCTCTCTCTTGTCCATCAACGCACCCATTCATTGCTTCCTTCCTCTCCTGGCCCCCAGTCCCATACCGTACCTCAGTACCAAAAAATGATCACCAAGCACACAGCCTCCTACTCTAAAACATTCTCCCCTTTACATTCTTCTCATTCTATTACCTAAAACTTAAACCCCAACGCTAACCCTTCTTTCCCCACCCCCCTAAAGCCTACAGGACGCTCTCGAAGCACTACGGGTGGTGGATGGCGCTGCCGCACGCCGACTTCGCGCTGCTGATCGACGCGGGCCGCGCGACCTGTATGCTGCTGGCGTCGCACTGGATCGCTTTGAAGCAAGTGATGGCGCCCGTGACGGAGCTGGAGCACCGCGTGCGCGCGCGCAGGCCCGCCCGCCCGCCTGGCGAAGGCAATGGCAACGGTGACGCCAGCATGGCCCTGGGTATGGTAGGTTGGCTGAGGCACCTGAACCGCCAGGTCGACGCCGCGTACCAGGGGTATAACGAGGTTAGTGACGCTCCCCTTCTTTTCTCTTTTTACCTATCACGAGGGCAAAGGTTGTTTACTAGAGAGTCGAGTTTCGGGTCTTTGAATCTTCTACTTGGAAAGACATTACTGACTAGTATTTCATCGTATTTAGTGGCCCGTCTGGGTCCAGGAGCAACTCGACAAGGACATAAGAGCCTTTGGAAACGCGGGGGAGTCGAGAGTCTAGGAAGGGGCCCGGCCCGCGACGTCATTTGGTATAGGTTCGCTCTTTGCGAGGTTGCTTGGGTATCTAATGTTATGGATTTAACTGACTATGTTTTTGTTTGTGTTGATACTGCCATAATCCTACCTATGTACTCTCATGCCTCCGATGCGCATCTTTCTAGAGACTACATAGCTTTAGTTTCATCAATGACGGCAAAAGATTGTTTCCAATAGGTTAAACTATAATCTCCCACCGAACTTTATGAAAAGAGAATTAACAAATTCGGATTCTAGCCCGCGAGCGGGAAAGATGCGGAGCGAAACGTGCCGCACGCATGCACTCCCTAGACTTCAGATGAGACCAGGCTCAATTGCTGGCCAGATCAAGGCCGATTTGTGTAATAGAGGCTGTCTCTTTGGGTTAGTCATTTGGTGAAATAGGGGGAAGGGAATGGAGAAAAGGAGGTCTGCATTAGTTCAATAAATAAGTCGCAACGGAAAGGACACTAAGATTCACGGTTTAAACGCAAGTTAGATGAAACCCGAGCTCGATAATTGCAGTAATTCATTCAACCAACCACCACCGTCCCAGTTCAGCCAATTATTGCGTCTGGGAGACAGCACGTCTGGCATGAACCAAATGAGGCGGGCTTACTCTACATAGAACATAAAAGTATAACACGAGTGTAACATCTATACCTATGTAGTCACGGCGAGTTTCGCCCAGTTTCTGTTATCTCTACAAGTAATCATCATTTACCAATACCAAAACCCGGACGCTATAGATTCCCCAGAAATTATCCACATGACGAGACCAAAACGGTTTGTAGGGAGAATAATAAGATAGATAGAAAATGACGAAGGAAAGAAACGGAGATCAGGCTGCCATAGTAGGGGGGGCAGCGATGAACATGGTGCAGTGCCTATAGAAATCGGCCACGGTAGATAATAACGAGGGAGCGCCGTTGAACAGCATGGCACCGAGTATTAGGATCAAGATAGGAATCTATGTGGAATCATTAGTATCAATGCTCGTTAGAGAGTGATCGGTAAATACTCACCCAGACAAACCAGAGCATCTTGTCACTGCTGCCGGTCTTGAGCCTTTGAGCATGGGCTCGCTGAAGATGCTCTCGCTGTTCCTTGGTAATGTTGGACTT